TTTTCATTTTCATTTGGTTTTGGGCCGCGTTCGGAGGTCTGTGCTCCGGCCGGGCTTAAATTCCCATTTGGCCAGGACCAGAAAGCAAAGGATCCAAGTATTTTCGTACAATTAGGCAGCGGGGATGGAATGGGGCCGGGGTAATTCCAACGCAAATATGAACTCCACATTTGACTGCCGAAAACTTGGACAAAACTTTCGGCCAAGCCACTCACGAGGAGTGGAGGGGGTTTGAGTTCGGGTCTAGTTATTTTGTTTCATTTCGGGTAAATTGCATTTTATTTTGGCCTGCAAAAGCGGCGGGGTGGCGGCTGGGGGGTGTTTCTAAAACGTTTCTTGCCTGCAGTTTGAATCTTATGCAAATATTTTTGGGCTAAGCTTTTCAAAATGGCATTGGCCGGGCCAGGAGACCATTGTGTGCGGGGCAAAAGGACGAGCGATGCTTGCCAACTGGGCCATGTGTGGGAGCGAGACGGCGCACGGGGAGCACAGGACGCAGGACGAGGCCATGTGGTGGCCCAAAGGAGCTACCGACTGCGGAGTGGAGGCGAACGTTTTATGGCTGAAATATAAACTCTAATGGATTTCATTTGAATGGTTTACATTGAATTAATGGACAAGGCGCAGTTGCTCTGCCAAAGTTTTCCCACAGAACGCAGATCCTGCGATGCGAGAAAGAGTTTGGGATGCAAAGCCTGAGTTTCAGCAGCTGATGGATGGATGGATTTCCAGCGGGAAGGCCAAAAACTTGAGGCGGCGGAAAAATGTGCAGAGTGCGTAATTGTTTGTTTTGAATGCGTCGTTGGTAGGGAAAATCGAAATGTTTACTTAGGCGCGCAAATTAATCGGGCCGATAAACCATTAGGAACCGGTAGTACTTTTCCACGTCGCTGCGGCCACTTTGTTTTCTCATTTTATTGAATGGATATTTAACTCATTGATGAATTTCGATAGGTAGGCGAGTGTTTTCGCACCTTCTTCGCACCTTGTAAAGTTCAAAAGTGGTTCGTGTTCAAAACAGCGCTTTTCAAAAAACCGTTCTCAGAGTTGTTTGAAATGTGTGCGTTATTTGTCGCAAAACCACAGTGTAAATAAGTAAATGTGATGCACAAATATCCGACTCTATTTCACCAGCGATCATGAATGATCGTGTTTCGCTGCCCGAGTCATTCATCTCTTCATTCACTCCCCCCTCCACTACCACTTCCCCCTCCACTTATACTTCCACTACCTCCAACCAGTTTCCACCTTATAAAAACGAAGCCAACACTTGTCTTCACACATGTTGTGTATAGGCGCTCTCTTATACTCACACTACTACGCAACGTGTTCGAACAGCTGTTGCAACAACTGAGAGGCGGACAGGCGCAACATGTTCGTTCGTATAAGAGCGCGTTTGTGCTTGTTTTTCTATGCTTGCGCTGTTGTTTTTGTTTCGCTTCCTCGTCGAACGTTCTTGTTTTGTTTGCCTTGGTTTGCCTTGCTTTTCCATCGCTTTTATGGGAGCAACTTTGTTGTGCCCACTGTGCAGATGCATCGGTTGCGTTGTATCTGAAAGATACTTAGATACTCCATTCCCGAGATACTCGTATCGGATACTTGCATTGGCATTGTTGTTGTTTCGCTTCTTCCTCTTCATCTTCCTCTTGTTTGTTATTATGCGGCAGGCGTTGCATTCCTTAAACATTCGTACTTCTTGGCTTGTGCCCTCTTCCTTTCGGATTTCTCAATAAAATTACTCCCGGCCACTTTCCGTTTCCCGTTTGCCTGACTCTACTCTACTCCCCCCCACTCTTCGTCGAACTTTTGAATTTATATGCGCAGAGTGTGTTAAAAAAGGGGTTTTCGGGGGGAGGGGGATACCACTTGGTGCACTGTCTAGAGTTGTCTTACAGAATGAATCGCACAATGACACTGGTAATATTCGCAGCTGCAGCAGATTATGCCCTCTGTCTCACTCCCTCGCAGTATCTGTCTCGCTTTGCCTTTAAAAAAAATTGATCATAAACATCTTCTAAGATATTAATACTATGTAACTTATTCGCGTTGGCATAGCAGAATATTTTTGCTTTTTGGGTGCCGCAATGAACACAAAGTATCATTTGCAGAAAGTATTTCATAAACTGGTGCTTTTTGTTTGAGTATATTTATAGAAGTATTGATCATAGTGGAAGTGCTTGAATACTATTTTCGTTTCGCTGATGACGATTTTCTCAAACAATTGCTTGGTTTAAGAGGCTGAACTTTGGAAGTGCTTGAATGCTTTACCTCTATGCTACTGTACCTCGATTCTCGTCCTTTTTTTTTTACAGTTTTTAATGTCCATGTCGCCCTCCCTGTCGCTCCGCCACCTGCCCTCTCTTTCCTGCCGTCTGCGACGGAAGCGCAGACACAGGAGCAGAGGGGTAGGGGGCGGTAGGGGGATCGAGGGGGGCGGTGCATGTCATAATAATTATTTTATGTTAAAAGAAGCGGAGGCCGCGGCGGGCGGGGAGGCAAGCAATGCGAAAAAAGGAAATTTGAGCAGCGGCATGTGGCAGCGGCAGGTGAGGCCGAAAAACTAGTTGGCCGAAATCCTTGATTTCCGCGCTCTCTTCCTGCCACAGGATATCTGAGCAGCTAGCCATCTCTTTCCGTGGCACGAGCAGCAAACAAAATAAACAACACGCACGAGAAGAAGCCGAATGAGAAGAAGAAGAAGCGACAGTGGCGTTTGCAGGATTTTATGAAGGGGTTCCTATCCATTTAATTTGTACACATTATCTTTGGTATGTGTTTGTATTTGAAAACCGCGTCATCCACTCATTTGAGTTTGATTTAAGCCGTTAAGTTTGGGTTTACCCCAAAAACCCCCCGAAATTTAACCGCCTACGTCACTGCAAGTCACTGTTATTTGTGTTGTTTTTGTTGTTGCGAACATCTGTTCGATTCGCCCCGTCCCGCTCACTCCGCTGCAGTAATCACATTTTATTGGATTTTATTTTGCGTGCCGTAAATCGCCTAATCGTCTTTGTTGTTTTTTTCGTTGTTGTACTTTTCGGCTTATCTGTGTTTTGCATAAATCGCTTTTCGGCTTTGCTTTTCGCTGGCTGTTTGAATTTGTTTGATTTTTGTTGTAGAGCCGCTTTTGTTGTTTTTGTGATTTTTTGTTGTTTTTTTGTGATTTTTTATTTTTGCTTTGCGCAATATTTTCACCTTGTTTTTGTGTGTATTATTTTTGGCTTTTATGATTTTTTCTTTGTTTTCGTTTCATTTTCTTAATTTTTTTTTCTTGCGGCTCCGAGGGACGGCAATTAAACACGTTGAAGAAAATATACAAAATAAATGGCCTAGCGAAAATGAGCGAGGGGAAAATATACAAAACACGAAACAATAACAGCTTAAAAAACTGTCTCTTTTTTAGGCGATGCAATTTTTATGGGCAAATGTTTATCCTGTGTTTTCTTTTTTACGATCGGCCGAAATTAAATTGGATTGCAAGTGTTTTCTCTGGTTGCGCTGGGAAAACATTTGCCGCACTAGATATTAATTAAACGATTTTCTTGTTGCTCTTAGTACTCATGTACTTATGGCTGCCTTTTAAACTAAAGCACTTGGTGCCTCTTTAAGTTATGACACCAAAAGGAATACGCTACCTTTTTCACAGTAATTAGCCAGCAATTGAGAAGAAACTCTTCGCAAACGGCACCCTCATATTTCCAGTTTTCCTCCAGGAACCCTTAAGATTCTTAGACCCTGATCAACTGCCAACTAATTCATCTGGAAGTCAGTTTGAATCCAATCTGCGCGAATCGAGTTGGGATTCGCAAGGCGAGCGAGTGAGATAGCACCTATGTGGGAGTGAGAGGGGCTAGGGCGGTACAAAGGGTCGAACACCGCCCTCATCAGCTGTCAGCGGCAGCAGAATGAGGCCCATTTGATGAAGATGTTTCAGCAATTGTTAAGTGTATCTGGGCCCTTTCGAGGTTTGCTGTTTGCTGTTCGCTATTTGCTGTTTGAGCAGCGAGGAGATGGAGAAGGCCACAACACATCAAAATTGTACTCGATATGTTAACAAGTCGAGATACAAAAGAGATGACTAGTCCCAGGAGATGCCAGAGATAGCCCACATAAATAAGTATCTCGTGGCTGGTAGCTCGCATCTCGTATCTCGCATCTCGGGTCTTGTATCTTGTACATATCTCGCATCTGATGGATGCACCTTTTGACACCCAATAAACAAGGCGCAAACAGCAGCTGAGACAGAAGTGATTTGATTTATTTTCAGGGGCAAGCAAGCAACTTTGAATGTCGCCTTTTTACCAAAGGGAAAGTGGTGGCAAAGCTATTTTATTTTTGTCAGATATGTATCGTAGATGGTTTTGGATACCTCAGTTAATGCTTAAGCCCAAGCTTTGTTTTGGGTGATGCAATAATTGAGTTAATTAGCCAAAAAGGGAAACCCCTGGCTAACAAATGGGTTAAAAGGGAATGGTGGCTGTTGAGAGGGGTTTTGGGCGTGCTAACTTAATAAGTGACTTGTTAATTATCCGTCGGCGGCTGCATCTGCAACTGTCTCCCTCCCTGTCTCTCCTCCTTTCTCTGTCGCACCTGCAGCTGTCGGGTAAGGGCCAGCTGGCTCCTGGCTATCGCTCTCCCTTTCGCTCGCACGCGTCCTCTCACTTCCTCACGTGACTCCTTTAGCAGTACCGTTCACCGGATGGCGGCCAAAAGCGAAAAGCCACGACAAAGGAAAACTTGGCAACACGCTCGAACTTCGAACATGTTTGCTGCACCTGGCTTTATTGTTCAAAGGGTGGCTGAAAAGGGGAGTCGGCTTGCAGGGGGGTTTCTTACCTTGGCCAGCAAGAGCCGGCTTTTCGAAAGGGGTGCAAAATGGAAAAAAAAAGAAAAAAACACACACACAACTAACAGAGCGGACTGTACACGTGTAACCCCTCCGGTAAGGAGCCTCTACCCCTTTCGGTTTTGGCCAGGCCCGGCACTTTGCGAATCTATAAAAGTATCGGGCCGCATAAAAAACGAGCTCAGTTGTGAACGGTACTTTGTAACGGCAACCGGCGGCAGCACGCGCGACTAACGGTTCGCTGGAAAAGTGTAGGAAAAGCCCTGAGGAAAAACTGGGCAGGAGAGTCAGCCATTTACTGCTCGGATCCACAGCCGCAGTAACTTGTCGCTCATCCTCGACAGGAATAAAACAGAAGCCGCACCATCCACATCCAGTTCACATAATCCTGCCCCCGGATGGTCTGAAAAGAGTCAACCATTTCGTCACCCCCTCCGTTGGTAAGTGGTAACACCCCCGCCTCGGATGCTCCAGTCTCCATGCCCATCTATGCCATATCTCACACTCACGAAGATCCCGACAAAACCCCAAAAAAAATAAATCCATCGGCTTAAAACTTGGCAAAACTCAGCTCCAAACTCAACCAAGCTGAGCTGAACGTATTTGACTAGAGCGAGCACTGCAAGAAATAACAGAGATACTTTGCATTATGTGGCTAAAAATTATCGGATTAAACTGGATAATAATAGTTGTTTATAATAACCCTGCTTTGCCTTCTTAAACCGTCTTGAAGCCGAAACCAGCTGTTTAACAAGCCAGCCAACTTTAGTCTGAGTGCATGCAAATCTGCATCTGTCAGTGCGGCAGCAGCTTCAGCATCAGTATCTGTGTCCGCTTTGTATCTTTTGGGTTGTAAAAACATCTGTGCTTGTCGTTCGGCATCCGTATTTGCCGTTTGCTGCCGTTTGCAACGAGCCAACTGCATGCCACCCACTCCACGCACCAACCAGTCACACATTGCGTATACGCAACGTGGACGGTTTGTGGAGCAGAGCGCGGGTTTAACTAAAAACCGTTTGCGCCCGAGCTGTCAGCAAATGGCAAGCACTTTCCGTTGAAATCTCCCCCGCGTTACCCGCTTTCTATGTGGGCTGCCCTGCTCCATTTTCGATATCTTTTGTGGGATCTCGGACAAGTGCTACTTCTGGCCAACTTCTTGGCCAGCTACTGGTTGGCTGTTCGATTTCCATTGTCTTTTTTTCGAATGGAAACGCAATTGCGTGTAGGCAGGAGTGGAGGAGTCCAACGATCGATGGAGAGGGTCTAAGAGGTGTACGGAGCTCCACATTCCGTGTGGGCGGGCCTCGAGCTCCCAGTTTGGCCATCCATCTTGCCACCAAACCAGCCAAGTTGGTGTGTCTCCAGGGCGAGAAGCTTCCACATTTGGCTCACTTTTGTTTACACTTTGATTTATTTACGCAGTCTCCAAAAGTATTTCATTCAATCGCATCGATGCGAATTTGATTCACTTTCCAAGTCTTTGTTTTTCCCATTGTTCGCCTGGGAAACTTTTGCTAAACGAGGGACAAGTGCCGAAGACTCGATATCAAAACGAAAATCAAAATCAAAAACCGATTCGGATACACAAATCATGGACGCAATGACAGGGGAGGTGGGGTTGCCTTGGGCTTTTGTCACTGGTGAAGTTTTTTGTTTATTGTTGAGTGCATGAAAATACGAAAAAATTAATGCGTTGGCTATTCTTGAAAAAATCATACGCAATGCATTTTAATTTTTCTTGTCTCTTGTTCGTTTTTTGTTTGTAAATATATAGTTTTTAAATGTGTCAAGTTTGCTTTTATACAGATCGGCGTGAGCGGCAGCTCCAAAAACAAAAACAATATAGCGAAACAAACAAAAAAGGGAAAAAAGACCCAAAGACCTGATTTCAGGGTGGCTTAGTTTTGTTTACCCAATTCCGGGCCACTTTTCTTTTACCATCGTGTGCAGAAGTGGAAAAGTTATGAAGTGATATGGATACAAGTTTCGTAAGTCATATTTGGATCACAGGAATGCGCAAAGTTAAGCTGAGAATTAAAATTACTATCCAACTCGTAAAACTTTAATTACCATTTACCACTTCCTCTGAACTGAATTTGGCCAAAACTTCTGACTGCCATTAAATACAGCAACTGATTTGTGTGCTCTCCCCCATTTCTCAGGGCGACTTCAACGCAGAAGTCAACAGTTTACAGTGTTTAATCATTCTTAAGCTGTCGTCAGCTCCCCACCACCCCTTTCCCCCCGCCCTTTCGGGCCACCTTTGACCTTCATTAGTGTCAGACCCTCTCGCATTCGCATTAATCTAGGCAGACGTTTCAAGTTGAGCTGTTGCAAAGACAATGGCTCAAGCCGTTTTGTAGTTTGTCTTGTCGGCCAAGGTGCACACGCACACTCCAGATACAGATACAGATATAGAGAGAGATACAGCTACACACTCAGCTGATGGTATCTTTGAGATACTCGCACAAACGCATACAAAACAGAGCTAATAAATCAGTGCACTTTATGCCTGAGAAGCGAGATATTACGTATGTTCGAAAAGTATTGTGCAACGAGATTTCCCAACCAAAACAAAATCAAATAGTTTAATCTTTGAAACTAATCATAAATTTAGTTTTTCGGGATTCGTTTGCAAGTAAGAGCAAATATATAACACTAGTTAACGCTGAATTGTATAAATTCCACAAGAAATTGTCGGATTATGCAACCATTCGAAGTTGCACCCCCGCCCACCGCCCATCGCCCAGCCACGCCCCCCTTTCTGAGGCGCCCCAAAGTCTCAGGGCGACACAAACAAAGAACTCGAGTGGCGTGCGTGTGTGTGCGAGTGTGCGTGGGTGTGTGTTGCACAACACCGACACGAAACGAAAAGTCCGAAAAACCAACACAACACAGTCGGCTGAAGGAAAAACCTTCGCGGCGGAAAAACAAAAAAATAAGCAGAGCAGCGATGTGAAAAGTTGAATGCCTAACAAGTTGAAACACGCTAAAAATGCGAAAAAAGATCCACACAAGAAAATAAATAAAGAAAAACAAAAGCTCAAAGATGGAGCACACAATAGCAATAACAATAACAACAACAATGACTCGGAAAATGTGGAAATGTCTTGGGAACCTTGCAAAATGGTTGAAGCTGGCGCTGCTGCAGTTTTCTGAATTAGATAAAAGTTTAGGAAATGTTTATGCCAGAAGTAAGGTGCAGATGAATAGCAAAGCAACTCCTTTTACCAAATACCCTCGATGGAGCCAAAGGGTCCAAAAGTCTGGTGGAGTCCTCTTGGCTGCTCGGAAAAGTCTGCCAGTGCAGCTCCGTAATTAATTGATGGGAAAACTCGAATGCCGCTCATTAAATAGACACTCGGTAGGTGTAAGCTGTTGCAAAAAGAGAAAAGTTTGCATATGCTAGATATCTACGTAAGATTTAACTCACAAATTGTTTTAAATATTGTGTTATATTGTTTGTGGTGTCATTTGCAGGGTACTTTACTTGCAGTGCCAGCCACTTCCTTCAGATTTATTTCTATATTTTTAACCTCAGGTGGGGAGTGATGTGTAGGAAAAGGGTTGAGGTGTAGGATAAGCTGGCAAATGGCAGGCGGAAATGCACCGAAAATAAATGTGGGTAAAAATGCCCAGGAGAAGTGGAGTGCTGTGTGTCGGGAACTTCAGTTGCCATTGCAACTGCAGTTGAAGCAATGTTGTCTTCACCCAAATATTTCACACCAAACGCAGAAGGGGTTTCTTCGGTTGCAAGAACAGGGGCGTAGCTGCAGGGGATTCGGCCGGAAAAGTGCCTAGCCAGCGCAATGTGCAAATGCGAAATGCAAATACGATTGCGACGGCAACGGCGACTGCGGAATATGAATCACTAGAATCGGCGGCAGCAAAGTTAACAAGATAGAATGCTATAGTCGAGTTTCCCGACTTTCAGATACCAATACTTAGCTAGTAAAGGAGAAATTTCACAGTTTTTCGGAATATCGGTAAAAAGTGCGTACAAACATTCAAAAAAAATTTTTAAACGCGTGGTCGTCACAGTTTTGGGCGGATTGTGGGTGGTAGAGTGGGCGTAGTAAAACGATTTTTAGCAAATCGATAGAAATTAACAAGACATAAAAAGAACAAGACTTAAAAAAAATATCCCAACAAATATCACAAAAATGTCACTTAAAAAATCCGATTAAGATAAGTTGAGTTATGGACTTTTAAACTTCCGTCTTTGGACATTTTTGATTTTCTACAATATCATCACATCAGAAAAATTACAAAAAATTTAAAAAAAAAAATTTCCAAATTTAAATGCAGATTTATAGAGAATTGCTCCAGAAACATTTAGAGGTATGCCACTTCAAAATCCGATTAATATAAGTTGAGTTATGGACTTCAGAACTTCAGTTTTTGGACATTTTTGAATTTCACCAATATCATAACATCAGAAAAAGTACAACAAAATTAAAAAAAAATAAAATTCCAAATTTGAATGCAGATTTATAGAGAATTGCTCCAGAAACATTTAGAGGCATGCCACTTCAAAATCCGATTAGGATAAGTTGAGTTAGGGAGTTTAGAACTTCAGTCTTGGGACATTTTTGAGTTTCTACAACATCATAACATCAAAAAAATGACAAAAAAATTGAAAAAAAATAAATTTCTAAATTTGAATGCAGATTTTTAGAGAATTGCTCCAGAAACATTTAGAGGTATACCACTTCAAAATCCGATTAAGATAAGTTGAGTTATGGACTCTAGAACTTCAGTCTTTGGGCATTCTTGCATTTCTACAATATCATAACATCAGAAAAATTACAAAAAAAATCATTAAAAAAAAATTTCCAAATTTGAATGCAGATTTTTAGAGAATTGCTCCAGAAACATTTAGAGGTATGCCACTTCAAAATCCGATTAATATAAGTTGAGTTATGGACTTCAGAACTTCAGTTTTTGGACATTTTTGAATTTCACCAATATCATAACATCAGAAAAAGTACAAAAAAATTAAAAAAAAATAAAATTCCAAATTTGAATGCAGATTTATAGAGAATTGCTCCAGAAACATTTAGAGGCATGCCACTTCAAAATCCGATTAGGATAAGTTGAGTTAGGGAGTTTAGAACTTCAGTCTTGGGACATTTTTGAGTTTCTACAACATCATAACATCAAAAAAATGACAAAAAAATTGAAAAAAAAAAAATTTATAAATTTGAATGCAGATTTTTAGAGAATTGCTCCAGAAACATTTAGAGGTATACCACTTCAAAATCCGATTAAGATAAGTTGAGTTATGGACTCTAGAACTTCAGTCTTTGGGCATTCTTGCATTTCTACAATATCATAACATCAGAAAAAGTACAAAAAAATTAAAAAAAATAAAATTCCAAATTTGAATGCAGATTTATAGAGAATTGCTCCGGAAACATTTAGAGGTATGCCACTTCAA